TGTAGGATGACAGATAACAGATAAACTGGTGCCCTGAGAGGGGCAGGTCCCTATAAGCAGCCGAAATCCTGCGTATTTGGATAGATGTCCGTTTTCATTTAAAAATATTAGTGGGATTTTCCGTTTCCATGTGAATATATTATGGTCACTATCACCCCATTTATTTCCTTTGTATTTTCCTATTACGAACTGCCAGGGTCACATGACCAGTGAGATTTCATGTTAGCCAACAATTTAGATAACCTTTTCGTTGTGCCGCCTTTATACAGTTCAGGTCCCACCACTTTCCAATGGTCATTAGGCCTCTATAAAGGTCACTAAGCCTCTTAAGATGTGACATTCCTGTACCGTTTTGAGTACAAGCATTGTTGATTTCAAATTCTGGAGAAAGGGTTGACAGTTTTGTGATGGTTGCACCAGGGAACTGTGTCGGCAAAAACATCTGCACACCAACTTCCCATTACCAAATGCAAACTCTTCTAAGAGGATCCACAGGCCGGTGCATCAGGCCTAAAATGTTTAAACATATTTCTCGGGGGATGTACAGTGTCCCATATCTTTCTTTTTTTTATTTACACATATCCTCAATTATTAATTCTCTTTTCTGAATTTTACGGCTATGGGAGAAGTTAGCTAACTCTTGCCTACACTCTATAAGTACCTTTACGACATGCTTCATATAGTATGGCATTACTATTCTTTGCGTCCCTTTATTAATCCACTTAACTAGGGGGAGGTGGGATCTTTTTCATCTTATTTGCTTTCACCAGCAGCAGACTTCAGAGAAAGTTCTGGTTGTCATACACTTCTGGACTTTGGTGGTCTTGTTCCAGAACTTGAGTCGCGCATGCACATCTGATACACAGATCTGGCTTATTTGTATGCAGACTGTTGGTTCCTCAGGCAGATGCACTTATGACTTTTCAGGAAACACAATTAATTAGTCATCTTTTACAACATACTTGTTAAGGGGGCGGTGGATCAGTTCTGTGCCACCCAAAACGGGGCCCGGCAGCCAAGACCGTCTCTATCTGGCGGAGAGGGAGACGGTCTTGCCGTAACCCACATGGTGACAAGGGTGATTAGTTACCATGAGTGGTAACACATTCTAGCCCCCCGTTATTGCAGCTACTGTCAACATCCAGATTGTTTCAACTATCTGTAGGTTATTTGTCTTTGCATGCAGGGTAGGCATATCCCATTCAACGAGTTATTTACAACCAGGTCAGCTACCCTCTCCTGGTTTAGCCAGTACGTCAAAGCTGTTGCTCCTGGGCAGGCCGCTGCTGCATACTTTGTAACCATAATAAATCAACTGCCAGCTTGCTAGGTCTGTCGCAGCTTCACCAGAGCCGCAGTGGCCAGGCCTACTGTAGTGGCTCTGTGGCAAAAAGCGACACTATATTTTGCCTAATCTGAGAAACACCCTACTTTCTCCTGTTTCTTATGCACATACACATATAAACCATAAGCAAAATTGATGTCGTATGTTTAACAAATTTATACACAATAAATAGTTACTCTGAGTATATGCTACAAAAAGTAACACCGTCACTACTCATACATGCAGACGGGAACATATGCTACCCTAACTAAGTCGTAATGAGAAGCCACAAAACCGATACTTCTGGAGCCCAATTTCCCGTAAATATTTTCTTTCCAACTTGTCTATAGGGACCGGTTTATCAAACCTATAATATATATATATAAACAACACACACAAAAAAGCTCTTATCCATTGTTCAGAGCCAGAATTAAAGATATGTAATCATCACTACTGAAATGAATTATCATCTCTGTGGCGTAAACAATGGGGGATGAGGTCTAAAAACCTGATGATCTAGGGCAGGGTTATTCAATGGCCGCCCGTTGGCAAAATCTGGCCTGCAGATCACTGCCAGTTGTATTGTTTTCATGATCTTTCTATGCTGGGGTTCGGACCTCTGGCCTGTGACGATACCCCTTTCAACATTTTGGCTCCCGAGTCAACTTTGCTGAACAGCCCTGATCTAGGGCCAAAAACTGCAGGCTGGGATTTTATTTTTGCCTCCCTTAGAAAAACGCTGAGGATTCAATCCTGGGTCTCCAGCATGGCAGTCCAACACTGTTAACTGTTGAGTCAGCCTCTTACAGATGTCCACTATGTCCAAAGTGAACACAGCTGAAAAAACAAGCCAAATTTTAAAACATGTCCAAAGTGAACACAGCTGAAAAAACAAGCCAAATTTTAAAACATGTCCAAAGTGAACACAGCTGAAAAACAAGCCAAATTTTAAAACAATCTACATAAATAAACACAAAAACTAAAAATACAACGACATTCAGCACAAACACCCGTAAATAATATGAAGACTTCTGGCTATATCAGTGTAAAAAAATCTTTATAAAATATCAGTGGATATGAGTACTACAATTCTTTGCCCTGGAAACAAGTGCTAGCAATATGTACTAGCAACAAGTGCTAGTGCCAAATGCTAGCAATATGTACTAGCAACCAGTGCTAGTAATTTGTGCTATAAACATGTACTAGCAACAAGTGCTGGTGCCAAGTGCTAGCAACATGTGCAAGTGCCAAGCACTAGCAACAAGTGCCGGTGCCAAGCGCTAGCAACATGTGCCAGTGCCAAGCACTAGCAACATGTGCCAGTGCCAAGCACTAGCAACATGTGCCAGTGCCAAGTGCTAGCAACACGTGCTAGTGCCAAGTGCTAGCAACATATGCTAAAGCCAAATGCAAGCAACACGTGCTAGTGCCAAGTGCTAGCAACATGTGCCAGTGCAAAGTGCTAGCAACACGTGCTAGTGCCAAGTCCTAGCAACATATGCTAAAGCCAAGTGCTAGCAACATGTGCTAGTGCCAAGTCCTAGCAATAAGTGCTAGCAACATGTGTAAAGCCAAGTTCTAGCAACAAGTGCTAGTGCTAAGTGCTGGCAACATTTGCTAGTGCCACTAAGTACTAGCGCCAAGAACTAGCAACAAGTTTTGGAATCCTAGTGTAGTTAAAGCAAACAAGGGAAACAGTAAAAAATGGCTACTCCTTATAACTAGAAAATTACATCATCCTACATTATAGATCTGGGTGTACAGAAGAAAAGGCTGTATTTCATGGAAACAAAAACAATCAAACACAGAAATTCCGGAGAGACTGGGAATAAAAAGAGAGTTACTGAAAGAAGTAAAAATTTGAGGCAAACAAAACATTTGTATTTGGCAACATTGAAAGACATAACAATCTTGTAAATATATTACTGGAATAGTTGAAGGCAAGAGGCAGACAGAGATTTAAGTGGGAAGATAGCATCAAGAGATGGATGAACAGCTTCTCAAGGAGTATACCACCCAACCAGGACAAAAGACAGAGTATGTTGCAGACAATCTTCACTTTACAGTTGGCAGCTGTTTGACTCCTTATAAATTACTATAATACTGCATATAAACTAATAAACTGATTGACTACCACTACAGTCAAATGTTCATGTAAATCAAAAATCGCAATATGATACTGCATACATAATACATAACAATTTCACACATTTTAAAGGACTAGGATTAACCAAGTGGAAAAACAATCACTTTTTCTTGTACAAAAAACGTAACAAATGTTCCACATGACTGGAAATAAACCAGAAATACCTTCCATTTTACATCTGTTTCTTTAACCCTCCAACCCCAAAAACAAGAAATGCATTTCAATTTAGCTTATATTTAAAAAAAAAAATGATTGTAACCTAGCTATCATAAATACTGGCATACTTGCTATTGACTTATTAGGGCAGAAAACTTTACAATGAGCTCAAATTAAAATAAAAACAAATACTTCCCAATAATGTTTGATATATGAGCATTTTTCAGTGAACTCTGATTACGACAGAAACACTTTCTACTGTCCTCTCACTGAGACAGAAATATTTTCCACTGACCACTCTTTAAGACAGAAACTCTTTCCATACCACTCTTTAGAAAAAAAAAACACTTTTCGTTGACCACTCTTTAAGACAAACACTTTCCACTGACCCCTCTTAAGGACAGAAACACCTTCTATTGTCCTTTTATTAGGGCAGAAACACTTTCCACTGACCACTCTTTAAGACAGAAACACTTTCCACTGACCCCTCTTTAAGACAGAAACACTTTCCACTGACCACTCTTTAAGACAGAAACACTTTCCACTGACCACTCTTTAAGACAGAAACACTTTCCACTGACCCCTCTTAAGGACAGAAACACCTTCTATTGTCATTTTATTAAGACAGAAACACTTTCCACTCTTTAAGACAGAAACACTTTCCAATGACCACTCTTTAAGACAGAAACACTTTCCACTGACCACTCTTTAAGACAGAAACCCTTTCCATTGACCACTTTTTAAGATAGAAATACTTTCCACTGACCACTCTTTAAGACAGAAATGTGCCCTATCATCTCATACATATATTGCATTCATCCTCAATAGGCCATAACAAACGGTAATTCCCAAAGCCATACAATGTTAACGATTACAAGAACGCAAATACAAAGCAAGCAAACCAAGTGAACAATTACTGTGCATACTTGATGCCGTAGTATCTCATTCCTGAAAAAAAAAAAAAAGAACCAACTGTAGCTTGTAGCTCTGTTTTTTTAAACAAAATGAATGCTGCACATCAAGTTGTAAACATGATTCTATACTTTCCCCGATTCTAGGGCAGCACAGCTTCAGCATTTTGGGGCAAACACGGAATGCAAGAAAATGTGTGTGCACGTTAAAATTCCCTTGGCAGTTCATGTCAAATCCAAGAAACCATATTACCCCTACATTTATACATTTACAATACCTACCCACAACTAGCAATACTTAGTATAATTCTGGTATATACACATTTGGATCCTCACTGGTGCTACTGAGTCGCAATGATGTATGATGTGCCTGGTACAGAGTCAAGATAACTGAAAAGGCTTGTATTAACTCCATGGTCTCAGATGAGCTATAAACTAATCTAGTATTTGTTAACTTCTGGAGCTATCTCTCTAGGTGGATTTTCTGTAGAGCAGAGTCCACAATTGCCCTCATGGTTGCAATACACTCTTGTGGGTTCTCATGCCCAACTAAAGCACTCCCAGAGACTATCAAATTAGCTCCAGCCTGTCAGAGAAAAGAAAACAGACACAATAAAATGACAATAACGTGAAGCTAGGAAACAAGAATCTAGTAATAGATACTAACGTAAGGCTATGAAGCTAAGAGACTTCACACATTCAAGGTAGCTGCAGCTCACGATGAAAGATATGCCAATTATACAAAGGTTAGGCTAAACAGCCATGTCCAGAAAGTAACAATTCCTTAGTTGACTCAAAAACCAGGTCATCAGGCACTGACTATTAATTAAACATTCCCATAATCACCCAATCTCCACCTTTAGCAGCCAGCTCAGAGTTCCAGTTGTGACAGTACCAGCAGAAGTTTGAATGTATGTCCACACAGCCTTTCCGCTGAGTGCTCTCAGTCAGATTCCATGATGACAGTCTTCTGCATGATTCTCTTCAGATTGTGGTGAGCTCAAAATTTTCTTCAACTGAAGATATTTGCACCACAGAAGGAAAAAAACAACAAAGAGAACATGTGCACCTGTAATCTGGTAATTTCAATTTCAGCTTCATAGCAAACGGATCACCCCATCTTCGCTCCGCTCCTGCACCAACGAAAATACACAGAATGTTTATCACAGTCCCTTGTGGAATGACTGACAAACTGCTGTCTCAGCAAATCTAGCATACACTCGCATTAAAAGCATATGGTAGCAATCAGAAGTGCTAACACAAACAGTCCGACGTTAGAAATGCAGTTCATCATTGATAGTAGCAGAAGTCATTAAAAGATCAGCAGTTGCACATGCGAGTACCTGTGTACCTGTGCTTATCTTTGCAGTTTTCTGAGGAAAACTTATAAATAAAAAGTAATAGCGCGTGTACACGCATGCACACACACGCACACCTCCCATAATAAATAGTACATATTTGAGTATAAAAGGTCACTTACATCTGCACACTCCTGAATGGTCTTGGGCCCAACACCTCCATCAACTCCAATATCCAGATTTCTGAATTTGTTCCTCAGAAATTCAATCTGTTTGATCAGAAATAATTCATGAGAACAATGTATTATATCTATATCTATATATATATATATATTTTTATATGTAACACCTGAAAGGACAAAAACATCAGTTTATCCCACAGCCTTTCCACTACTGACCAGAGACATACAGACATTACTGAACCCTATTTAGTTTGTCTTCTATCCCTGCCTGACACATTACACTCTTTTCTTCTCTTTGGCTGTAGAGGAACTTTTAAGCTTTCCTCATCTACTCAATAGCTTAAGCCAAACTCTCTTTTATCTTTAGCCATATCTCATCTCTTTAGCCATATCACCGCTCTTTAACCATATCTCATCTCTTTAGCCATATCTCATCTCTTTAGCCATATCTCATCTCTTTAGCCATATCTCATCTCTTTAGCCATATCTATGCTCTTTAGCCATATCTCATCTTTTTAGCCACATCTCATCTCTAGCCATATCCACTAATTCCACCTTCATTATTCACATATTATCAACTTTTACTTACTTTATTTTGCCCAATATCTGCTCTGTGCCAGTAGGCACCACAGATTAAGAAAACATAGGTAACTTAGCTAAGGCCGACTTTGTTGCTTGGTATGTTCTTATGCGAAGTCAGGCTGTCAGTGACTCCTTCAATCCATTTTCTTCTGTCATTCTCTGCCCAACTTCTAAAACTGGTACCAATAATTTGAAGCTTAATGAAAGGGTTTTCAGCACAGAGGATATGGAAGTGCTGATGTGACTGAAGGACTGCAAATCTGGATTCCTTACATATTCAAAGCTGAGCTGAGGTGAGATTAGAATTGACTTTACTGCAATCTGGACATTCCCATAAATGCCCCTTTCCCAATATCAGCAGTCATTAAACAGTTCTAACTCTGTGGATACCAATAGTAGTCTGAATATGAATATGCATCCGTCCTGCATTTTATCTGAGGGAATAGTGTCTTCCTAACTTGCACAGTCTGTAGTGACAGCACTAGCCAGGCGGCCCTAAATCCCCAGGCTCAAGACACCCCTTTCTACACTGCCCTAAAAAGCTGTAAAACAGACAGTGGTGACAATTTTTTAGAGTGTCTGCAAACTGAGGTTCTAACCCCTATCCAAACAAGGAATTTGTATCTACTGATTATATTCCATGGTAAAGCAAAGCATTTTTGTCCTCTCTATATATCAAAGGTGATCAATTACCCTTCATTCCCCCTGCCAGATAAAACTCCTCGCACACTAACTAGCATTAGTGCATACTATTGTAATATTTCGTCACACACTGTCAAAACTACTGTGTGTATGTCGCACTTTTTAAAGGCGGTGTAGACTGGGAGTCGTGTGCATGAGGAATTGATTTTGCACGACGAGTGCTAGTTGCCATAGATTGTACAGGTCAGGATGTTTAATTTTACCTTTGACAGATGAACTCCATCACCTCACAGGGGTTCAATCTTGGGTCTCCCGCATGACAGCCCGATGTTGTAACCACTCAGCCAGCTGTTCCTGTCCTCACACACTAACAGCGCATAATTTATAAGAAAAGCTCTCACCTTTGGCACACACTCAGCAATAAACTTTTGACCTCCAAACCCAGGATTGACTGTCATAATCAGCACACAATCAAGCTGATCGATGTACGGCAGCACAACCTCCACATCTGTGGGTGGGTTGATACCCATGCCAGCCTGAGGGACAGATGGATGATTGAATTAACTGTTTACTCAACAGGGATCCATATATAACACAATCATTTTATTCCTGTTCCAGTCAACCAGCCAGGGATCCTGATCTGTGGAGACGCATAAGCAGCTATGCTAGTTGGCAGGGCACTTCATGATGATGATGACGATATTATGCTTGTGTGGGTTTCTTAGGCCCCATTGTGGGGAAATTGAGAACAGACCCACTACCTCCCCAACAAGCATGTCATAGGAGTTGACTTCTTGGGGGTATCCTCTGAAAGTCAGAGTGTATCTGGCTGACAGGCAAGGAACAACAGTCTGCATACAAATAAGCCAAATCTGTAAAACAGATCTGCATGCAAAACTCAGGTTCTGGAACAAAACTAAAAGTCCAGACACAGGCAAACACCCAGAACTTCTTGCCGGACTTTACAGCCGATCAACGAGAAGAAGACAAAGAAGAAGAATTATATTCTATGACAAAAACCATAACTATGTCACTACAATGGAGGTAACAACAATAACAAAATCATAACAATAGGGTAATTGATATTATCTTTACGTCCTTTTTGGGACGAAATTTTTTCTTATTTGAAGCCCAATCCTGGCTTTTGCCAGGGGCGCAATATAGGCAGGCCATAAATATGGCCAACTGTCTGAACGCAGTTTTTGGGACCTCTCCACGGCGATCCTCATCCACTTGGTGTCATCAGGCGTTTATCGCTTGTGTGATGTCTTAGTGGGGTAGAAAGTCAGTCAGTCAGTCAGTCAACAATAGGGTAAAATGACAATAAAATCATAACAATGGGGCAATAAAAAAATACCCCAAAAAAATAAAACTATGCATCTGTTCTTCTTCTGTTCCTACACTCTGTAGCACAAAGTCTGGGCAGTACTGTAAGATCATGTGTTGCCCAGGCAGCACGATCCCTCTCCAAGCCTGCCTTATTGACTCCAAAGAAAAGGTAACACCAGTATATATGGAACAAAGCATGCTGTAGAAAATGCTGGTTCAGAGAGCAATGTCCTGTCTGCCTACCTGCTGGAGATTCCCTCCTAGACCAGCTGCCAGACAAGACTAAGGGTCTGGTCTGTCCTGTCATAACTCTTGAGTTGTCAGGTTGTATTTTTTGTTCTTAGACTAGTATCCTCCTACATGTGCTCCTCCTCCTCCATTCAAAGCCGCTGGCACAATGTGGGATGTCAGGCGTGGTATACGCCATGCGCAATATGTGTCTGGTCTATGCTGGCACAATGTGGGATGTCAGGTGTGATATACGTCATGTGCAATACTTGTCTGGTCTATGCTGGCACAATGTGGGATGTCAGGCGTGATATACACCATGTGCAATACTTGTCTGGTCTATGCTGGCACAATGTGGGATGTCAGGTGTGATATACGTCATGTGCAATACTTGTCTGGTCTATGCTGGCACAATGTGGGATGTCAGGTGTGATATACACCATGTGCAATACTTGTCTGGTCTATGCTGGCACAATGTGGGATGTCAGGCGTGATATACACCATGTGCAATACTTGTCTGGTCTAGGCTGGCACAATGTGGGATGTCAGGTGTGATATACACCATGTGCAATACTTGTCTGGCATAAATACAGATGCTGGAAGCAACCAGTGAGGCATGATTTGTATAAGGTTTTTTTCCTGTTGATTCATCCCCATCTTTACTATCCAGTGCAGAGATCTCAACAGTGAACAAGCTGAACTGAGTTTCTGAAGACGTAGGTATACAGAAGAACAGGTCTGTCAAATACAGTGTAGATCTGATAAGAAGAACTTATCGTGGACTGAAGAAATGGTTCTTCTTATCAGAAATTCTTCATATCCGGATAAGAGTTCAAGCACACAAAAAATTGCCAGGCAGAAATAAAATGTTTTTCACAACAGAAAATAGCTGCACTGTACACAGGTTGTGAAAGGACTTGTGAATGACAAGAGATTTGCTGAAGGTAATCAACAGAGACAAGCGAACAATTTCAGCCACATTAGAAGACATACAAAAGTAAAGGATCATTTTCGGCGTACAAGGCATATAGGGCTAGACCTATATTTATTTAGACCAATCGGCACAAGATGGGTGATGTGGTTGGTCATCATCACACTGATTAGAAGACATAACACCCGTATAAAAACCACACTAAAGAGGGGGAAAAAAGGCAAGCGAGCAAGAAATAGACAGCAATATAAGTGGCAGGATAACACCAAGAGATGGGCTTTGAGTAGTCCCAGAAGGTTTATAACAAGATGAGAGAGAAAGAGACACAGAAAATATATGTGTGTGTGTGTATATATATGTATATAGCTGGTACCTTATTGACGTAATCAAATGTAAAAAGCATTATCTACTCATGAGTAGATATTATCTGGCTATTTCCTAAGGTGACTGCTTGAAAACGTATTCTTCATAATACTGAACTGGCCTGGAACTTTTAATGTGCCCAAAAAAAATGATACCTCCAGTTTTTTTGCATGGATCCGAGAAGTTGAGGTATACAATCCCAGTACCCAAGAGACAAGGAAGATGTGTCATTTGAAGAGCTGTTGATTTTTGCAGAAATTCCCAGTGCCATGCTGAAGATTTACCCAACTGTATTCCAGACCAGAAGTTATACATAGAAATCTTCAGTTAAGTCACCCCTCAAAACATGCAGTTTCAAAATAATGTTTAACAAATACTGCTGAGAAAAAACGAGCTAACAGCATACTTTCATCCCAGCTTCTTTGATTTTCCGTATACACCCAACTGGATCTTCGGTGGCTTCGTAATGGAATGTGTACATATCAGCACCTGCATCAGCCATACTCTCGATCCACTGGGGAAGACAAAAATTTTTATTATAAAGGGAGAGAGCTGTACACACAATAAACAATTAGGATATCTTCCAAATAACGGTCCCAAATTATTGAGACAGAAAATATACCCTAACAGGGCCTCAGTCACGTTTCAATTGCGTACTTCCGGCGACTCAAATTGCTGACTTCCGGCGACTTCCGCGAGTATCCCCACGCCGCTCATTCGGCGTGGATTGGGGCTAAACTAGATGGCTGGGACTCACGAGCATCAGCTACCGCATTTCCTGCAGCTGCCTTCATTTTATTTGCTCGTGAGTCCTAGCCATCTAGTTTAGCCCCAATCCATGCCACATGAGCGGCGTGGGGGAATACTCTCGGTGATATAGTCCCCAGAAGTGCATAATCAACATGTGACTGAGGCCCTGTTAGGGTATATTTTCTGCCTCGATAACTTGGGACCGTTATTCAGAAGATAGCCAACAATTATAACCACTACAGTGTAGACCCGATAAGGAGAACTCAAACCAGAGCCCAAGAAATGGTTCTTCTTAGAAGAAATTCCTCGAATCCAGGTAAGAGTTCAAGTAAGAAAAATAGCCAGGGATAAACACTGTTCTTTCGCAAAAGAAAGTCACCATATCTGAGATTGCCTACAGTGGTCTGCACTGTATAAAGTAAAGAGGACAAATAAAAGATATGTCTCCTATGTCCTGTAGTGTGTTGGGTATATGATGCTAGCCCAAAATTTTTTACAGACAAATTAGCACTGAATGGTTAATTTATGTAGGTCCCTCTAGATCATAAAAAAGCCGTTGGTGCCCACTTTACACTGGGTAAATTTAAAAAACATTCAACAACAACAGAGATATGACCACATGACTTATTGTGTGGGTACCAGGGACTCAGAATGTGGGTACCAGGGACCCATTGCACCCCCGCCCCCGCCCCCCAAACAAACATGTAGTAAAAGTCAACTAATTAGGGGTTGGTTCCTTTGAAGTCAGTGTGTATCCGCCGGAGAGGCAAGGAACTAACTGTATGCATACAAATAAACCAGATTTGTAAAACAAAAACAAACAAAAAACTAAAATGGATGTGCATGCAAAACTCAAGTTCTAGAATTAAACTTAGAACCACATCCAGAAGAAAAGAAGTGGACGAAACAATCAGAACTTCCAGCCAGTTTTACAACCGGTGAACGCAAAGAGCTGACCTAATAGTTAGAATGCTGATTGAGAACTGCTGCTGTAGACTAAAAGCAGAAATATTAAACTATTGACAACAGAATCATCACAATGGCAACACAGCGGACAACAATGACTTCACTTCATTTTTCTCAGTGACTAACCCTTTCAGGGGCTGCAACCATCATGTGCATTTCGAAGAAAACTTCAGGAAGCTTGGGTCTCAAACACTTTACAACAGGGTGACCAAAAGTTAAGTTTGGAACAAAATGTCCATCCATAACATCCAGGTGCATATAATCTGATCCGGCATCTACTAAACGCTGACATTCTGCGGCAAGGTTGGATAAATCTGCGTTTAAAATTGAGGGTCCAATTTTGCAGCAAGAGCCATTGGACAGCGCCATGTTTGTTCAGTGGTTGTCAGCTGTTCTAAAATCTAGAACTGTTCTTTGACCCGGGTCAATGATGACGGAGCAATCTTCGTTTGTTGGCACCTATCCGTTTTTCCAGACAATAGTGCTGTATTGTGTTATTATGAGGAGGCATGGACACAAAAAGCCCATGGTAATGGCGAGTGTGACTAGCAAAACCCATCCACGTTAGGAAAAATCTTCCACAATTATAACACAGGATTTCAGGACCGTTATTGCCATCATTTGTATTTAGAGTGTTTCTTCACAGACGCTCAGCTCTCAGCCTTGTTGCATTCCTTTCTGATTCCATTCTCATTCCCTTCCTGGTGTGCCCCGTCCACGCAACATGGTCTATGGTAATTGGTTTCCACGAATCCACCTCAGTATCTGTATAATTCATATCCCGCTTGCAGATATCTTTATATGGTAGTAGAGGTCTACCTCGACCTCTTCTACCCAAATGATGATGTTCTTAGGGACTTTGCCATTCTCCATTCTTCAGGTGTGACACAGCCCATGCACGCCGTCACAAAGAAAACATTGGGATGGGGGTAACAACCCCCGGCTTTACACGTTTTCTAAGTAAAAATTGTTGAGGAAAAGGGGGGGGGGGGGGGGTTAGACCCAATTAAAAAAAGAAATCGTTTGTAACTGGCTGGGGGAAGCCCTCTGCCCGACCCTCATCCATGTCTTTCTCACCACTTAGGTATAAACTGAGCCTCCTCACCCGCCTTCTCAGTTAGTAAAAAAAAAAAACATCGGGGGATCCCCAAACCACGCGCTTCTCACCACCTTACACATTTTGTAGACAAATACTAGGGTGGGATGGGGGGGGGGGGGTTGGAAACTCAGGTCTTTGAGTGTCCTACTACACACAGAGACACAAAATTAAAGAATGGGGTAGGTGCTGAACGCTTCTTACCACACAATAATTGTGTAAGGGCGCTCAGGTGCATATATAGAAAATATCTTTTCAAATATTTCATATTGTTTCATGTATATTATTATATTTATTTGCATTCAGCACATAATAATTTATATGCATTGTTATATTGGGTCTCTCAGTCTTCGTACAAAATTATAAGTGTTAGGGGTTGGAGGGGGGGGGGGAGGCGCTGGAGGTACCTACGCCATTTTCTTATGTGAACGACACACATTTCCCGCCATCTCCTCAGACCGTTTTCCTGACCCTAAGTTGGCTGTGTTATTTTAAGTTTGGAAATCCCTGATAACAAATATGCGCTCTAACATAAAGCATTGCTTCCCTATTATTCTTAGGTACAGCAAATATATGGACTCAGAGAGTATCGTTAAAACTGACTGGTTTTCCTGTATATTTAATTTGAAGTCAGATGAAATGGTTGCATTTACGTTTAATAATATCCACATTCAACAGACAGCTGTGGGGGGGGGGGGGTGAAGGGGCGCTCAGCCCTCAGGTTCCGGTGCATGTGACACAACCACCTAAGCCTGACTGGAGAAAGTTGTAATGCCTGTCCTTTCCAACACCTCAGTGTATGTCTTGCCACTTAAGGCCAAGCAATCTTTTTGAATTATTAAACCGCGCCCCTCACCCGTTTTTTACAATATTTCGCCTCTACTAAGGCAAATGCTGAGAGAGAGAGAGAGAGAGGAGAGAGAGAGAGAGAGAGAGAGAGAGGGAGGGAGAGAGAGACAGAGAGAGACACGGAGAGAGAGAGAGAGAGAGAGAGAGAGAGAGAGAGAGAGAGAGAGAGAGAGAATTAAATGGAATGATAGAAAGCCACCAAAACCGGCCACAAGTCGATTATGGACAGACCAGACCAAATTATTATTCTACGCCTTAGAAACAGGACACAATCGACTTCGCAGCCACATGTACACACAATTTTTAATTGGCAAATCAGCAATGTGTACATGTGGACTGGCACCTGAGACAATAGATCACGTCCTCCAAGACTAACCCAAATACAACATATCAAGGCAAAACCTTTGGCCAGGAGAAACACCGCTCGCTGCACGCCAAACTTTGCGGGTCGCTGAGTGAATTACAAAAGACAGAAATTCATACTTGTGAAAATATTGCAGATATAAATAATATATTCAAGTGAACGAAAGAAGAAGTAGAGGAAGAGTGACTGAGCTGCCATGCCCACCCCACCCTAGAATATTTGCAAAAATTTATAGACATTCTTAAGGTTTTTTGTGTGTGTCCTAATAGACATTTTGTGGTGTTTACCAACGCATTTTAGACATGTTGTGGTGTGTACCACCTTTAGGACATATTATGGTTGTTGATTTAAGTCAAGAATTGACATCACATCACTCTGAGCATTCACATGCATGCTCCGTCCTCATTTGCAGCAGCCAGCGCGGAGTTCCAATATTGATGGTACCGGTCACAGTCTGGTTATATGCCGTTCTTGCCTTTCCTCTGAGTGTAGCGAGCCCGCCAGACCCTGTAGTTACACCCAGGCGCCCCATTCTCTCCAGACCATAATGATCTTGTTTCTCTACTGATTCCGTTGCTTGTTCCCAAAAGGCATTGACCACATCTGCCTTGTCATATATCAATTCACCACCTAGTGGTGCAGATCCAGCCAATCTGCCTTTTCATTACCCACTACGCCGGCATAGCCTGGAGAAAAGGTCCAAAGTATGCTCACTACCCGTGACCTTCCTAGTGTTTCTGTAGCTGATGGTTGTGGAACATGTATTGGTCGTCGGCGAAAATAAATTCGTTGAATTTTTCCTGTTTATTCCCGATTGGTGATATTCTGTTGATTCTGTCTATGAATATGATAAAAAGCAAAGGTGATAGGTCACATACTTGCCTTACTACTGATGTTAATGGAAGGAAATATGTAAGGCCAGTTTTTGGTATAATGCAGAAGTTTATTTCGTTGGCGTAGTTCCCAGATTTAAAGTAACCACAGCAGATGTATACCCGGTAACCCTGTTGTAGCGACGAGTACTGTCCCCTGGTAGAGAGACCGACGCATGTGTTGCCGTGTTTCCCTGTGTTAAATTCATGAAATAGTCGCTGAAATTAACCACTTCGCCACTAAAACAAGTATTTAACGTATCGTTAGTTTCCCTTCTAACTATTTACAACATGGCAGACTCCAGCCTCGATGACTTTTTTGCCAAAAAAGATAAAAATAAGAGGAAGCCGAAAGCGAAGCCAGAAATCGCTGCCGACATTGAAGCGAAGAAGGATAAGAAGAAGAAAGACAAGGATAAGGAGAATGTTGCCTCTGGTGGTCAGACGAATGTTTTGTTGAACCAACAGGTTAGTTTTTAAATATTTACTCTAGTTAAACAGAAACTGACAGTTGCCATGATAAAGAATGTTGACGAATGTCGTTTTTAGTTTATTTTTCTCAATCGTAAAACCACCGCAACTCAACCAACTCCCGTCGCCAGGGCGTCGGCGTCGCTTCTTGTCATCCGTCATGATTTTTCATTTTAATAATAAATATGAACGTTAATTATTGTTTTATTTGTTTACTTGCATTATTTTAAACAAAATGTAGTAGATAGAATAAATGTAGACAACCACATTACAACGCAACATGCCATTAATAAAAATTCATGGAAATATATCTTTATTATTACCTTTTTTGTGGTTTAATTTTAAAATTAACCTCACACTAATGATTAAATGTGATCAGCCACAAAGTCAAATTGTGATAAAATAATATACCTTACAGTTACAGCTGGCTAGTCCTTAAAAAAAAAAAACTGGCTATCCTCCGAATAACAAGCACATTTTATGGCGGCCAAAAACACACCCTGACAGGGCCTCAATCACATGTAAATTGCAGACTTCTGGCGACTTGAATTGGCGGACTTCCGGCGACTACTGCCACTACAGAGAGTTTCTCCCACGCCGTGCCTAGTTTAGCTACACGCAGCGCATCGCGGCGTAGGAGATGCTCTCGGTGGTGGCAGAAGTCCGCAATTTACATGTGACTGAGGTCCTGTCAGGATGTAGTTTTTTGGCCGCCATAGTAAGTGCACGTTATTTGGAGGATAATCAAAAAAACCTTGTTGCAGATCTTTTTTATAGGTCGGTCACATTGTAAACCAAACTATCCCAGTAATTTTTTAAATGAGTAATTAACAGTATTAGTATTACTATTACTAGAAATTTTATGTTCAGTAGTTTGCCATTGAGTGCTCGTAGTCATACCATTATAATTTTGTAATGATAAAGCAAAGTGATCTGCTACCTAATTAACTGCAGCTGAATCAAACCGGGATTAAAATTATAAAACCAAATTCATAAACATTAAACCACAGACACTGATTTCTGTGTGTTTGTAAATGTGATTTGATTTGATTTAATTCAAGAACCGACATCACAGCACTCGGGGCATTCCCATAAGCGCTTCGTCCCCATCTTCAGCAGCCAACGAAGAGGTCGACACCAATGGTGCCAGTAGCATTCTGATTAAACGTCCGTCTTGCCTTTCCTCTGAGCCTCGAGCATCTGCCAAAACCTCTCGTCACTCCCAACTGCATCAGTCTCACCACACTGTGGTGATCAATCTGCTCCTCTGCACTGTACATGCTCTCCCACAAGGCACTAACCACGTCTGCCTTATCATGCATCAGTATTCCACCAAACTGTGCAGAGCAAGCCAGTCTGTCCGCCTGTTCATTTCCCAACACACTGGCATGCCCTGGTGAAAAAATCCAGACAATACTCCTCACCCGTGTCTTCCCTAGCGAGGCATGCCACTCTGCACGAAGCATGCCTGTCCTGATCTTCCTCCTCATGCTTTCTGAGTCAGTTACAATCACGATATGTGTGTGTGTCGTGTTCTCTAGCCAGCGGAAAGCTGCAGTGACAGCTTCCACCTCCATTCTTAAGCTGGATGTTGTGGTATCATATGCTAGGCTCTCCTGCACCAAATTGTATGTATGTATCTATATCTATATCAACATATACACATATCTACTTCAGCATTCCGAGCCCTTGAAATTCATTGCTGCAGATACCGACTGCTTATATGTTTATGTTCATTTGATTTTCATATTGACTTAATTTGGCCGGAGTTTATATAGCCTTTCCATGTTTTGTTATTATCATGTATTCTGTCTTATCTTGATTGATACTGTGAGCTGCTGCTTTTAAGAGAGTCATTGTTTTTACCATCTCTAGTACATTTTCTCCAATGATATATATATATATATATGTATGAGATAGCCACAGATTGGGTGACCTGGCCTGAGCTGGCTCAAGGCTTTAACTCCAGTTGAGAATAACGAAGAGCAGCAGAGAAAGAGTGTTATTATCTGTGTAATATTTTATTGTGAAACATTTTTGGAAATGAATGCAGAAATGGATATTGTAAATATTCTATATCTTTCACCAGGAAGATGAAGAGTGGAAAGATTATGAGGTGGAGAGAGAAGTGGATTACACAGGACTTCGTATCCAGACTCTTAAGATGTCGTGAGTACAACAATCATCTGTTAAATATATTAAGCTTTTGTCTTTGCTGTATGATCATAACAGGCATGGTAGATGAAAAATAATGCAGTTGCTGCAGGAAAGATAAGTGTTTGCAAAATCTGGATGTATGGTGTTAAAAATAGTTTGTTTCGCTTGTTATTAACTCTATATATGTGAAAAAATGAAGCTTTCATTTCTTCTTCTTTTGCTTTTACCCAAAACATCTTTGGAAGAAAAAAGCTACAAAACAAAACAACCACGTTGATTTCTGTGCTCAACAGCCTTGCTGTCATATGTTTGTGGGAATTTACCAGGTCAGACCTTGTAGTGAGAATGCAGTAATACATTATCTGGTGTAACTACGGTTACTGCTGCAGTTACTGCAGGCTAACTTAAATGGAGTCTTACGTTTCTTGTCTGAAGTCATTTGACTTTCCTGAGTAATCCAGTCAGCTTCTAGTGTTGTTGATCAGTCAGATATTCTCTACATCACAGTTACATGGTTTCTGTAGCACTGCCCAGGCTTTGTGCTATGGAGAGAATCACCATGGGCTGTAAGTTCCTTGCCTTTCTGTACCAGAATACACTGATACCGCAGGTAACCAGTGACCTGGCTGACAGAAATTTTTGTTTCCCCTCAGCTACCGAATGTAGATTTTGCTAACAGAGTTTTAGTGGATGCACACACCAACATACCCTGACTGTGTTGTGAGCTGAATTTTTAGACCACTACATTTGAAGCAGAAGAATTACTGGCATGGGACCGGATTACATTTTAAATAATGCAGATAAAAACAGTACATTGTAAAATTTATTGCTGGGCGTATTTCACTGCCAGACTGTATTCAAGTTGTATCTCTGTTTGACCAATGTAAGTCAACTGGCACTTAGATGTAAATTGATAAATACAGTTGGATCTGGTGTACAGGGACATTGGTTCTTTGATGGGAGGGGTTGGGACAGAAGTAGTCTTGTATGTCAACACTAGAACAGTGGCAAAGAATGTTTGGCCAACAGCTGTACTAGTTGACTTACATTGGTTGAGAACAGAGTAGCAGAAGATATACTCAGATGTCTCCATGCAAAGCTGAGTGAACCCACAGTGGTTTCAAAACTGAGGCAAAAGGACGAAACTCTTCTTGAGGGCCTCATTTGCTTGAATCAGGAAATGTAATTGACAAAGACCGTGCTTTCCCTGTGATCTGTGATTTACCACAAACAGAACAGGCACGTTTTGAGACTGGCCAAAGCTTTGTTTATAAAAATGTGTATTCCTTTCTTATGTAAGCAAAAAGAGTTAATTGTTGATTTGAAGTTATCCTGATAAGTCACGTGACTCGTGAACTTTCTTTGATTTGGCAACAGTGGATCACCAGAGACCATTTTGTATTTCAGTTGAGTTTATTCATTTGTATGCTTCATTATTTATTGATATAACTGCAGTAACGGACCTAGGGAGAAGCAGTGCAAAATGCCCAGTAATAAATTCAATGCATTGTTTATATTCTCATTATTACGGGAAAACATTGTTTTGAATACCTTTAACATTTTGTTGCTTATGTTCCTCTTCTGGATTCTGGGGCCACCATTTGGTAGAAACATGAGTAAACCCACTGCCCCTGAACAAGCATATAGTTAACTAAAAAAGGCGACTAAGGAAGTGCTTGCTGAAACTGGATATGTTGAGCCTGTAGCCTCAGATGTTGCATCCTAGCTGTAAACCACAACATGGCATGCCTACCACTCTTAAGGACAAAGTTTCTTATTGTTACATCTGTAGAGTCAGTATTATTCCCCTTACATGCCAGTGGCTCAACGAGCATATGGGGGTAGACTCATATTTTTGTAGACCAATATATGATATGCTTGACATCACACTATCTGCCTTTACTTCCCAGGACTTTACCTGTTACCTGTTTACAACTATAGAGTATACAGTTTTAACATGTAGTTCTAACTTGTTTCTGTGTTTCAAGTAAAGAAGATCCAGACAAAGAAGGAGGAGATGGTAATGGTGACGGAGATGATGAAGATGAAAACAAACTGAAGCGGGATGGAGCCTCTGGTCCTTGGAATAAATCTGGGGCGCAGGCATCATCTGCAGGTTTGTTTGAAGCTTTTCCACGCTGTTCTTTTTTTTTTTTTCATTCCTGTGTTTTGAAATGAATAGGAAGACAGACTGGCTGGCTCTGCACAACTTGGTGGAATACTGATGCATGATGGGGCAGACGTGGTTAGTGCCATGTGGGAGAGCTTGTACAGTTCAGGGGAGCAGATGGATCACCACAGTCTGGTGAGATTTATGCGGGGTGGGGAGTGGGGATCAACGAGAGGCACTGGCAGATTTTCGAGGCCACGAAAAAAGGCATCATTAGTATCGGAACTCTTCGCTGGCTGCTGAAGATGGGAATGGAGCGCTTATGGGAATGCCCCGAGTGTTGTGATGTCGGCTCCTAAATCAACTCAACTCAACCTGTGTTGTCTGGCACAAACATTATTCTGTATTTGACACAGGCACATTTCTATCTGTATTTGCTGGCAATACATAATTCTGTGTTAAGCACATGTCTACCTGTTTTTGTCTGGTACAAGCATTTTTCTATGTTTGACACAAGCAAATTTCTACCTGTTTGCTGGCACAAGCATTCCTAGGAAAAGTAATAAATTTCAGGAAAATTGTTTGCCGGTTAAACATGTCATTTCAAAATAACGAATTTCAGAGATTAATCTTTTCCTGAAGTATGTTCAGTTTGTGGAAAGTCAGTACCTGTCACTGATAATCTTTAAAAAAAAAATACCAACTGCAGAAGTACCTGTGCTTATGGTACCAACTTAAAAGAAGTACTGTTCATGATTTTAATAGTTGATTGTTGAAGTAGATTATTTGCTCATGGCGGAGTTAACCTGCATAATACCTCAATGACTATCTGCATTTACCTTATCCAGTCCAATATGGTGAATAGGCAGGCTGACTGAGAGTTATTTGTTTCTAGCAGAGGTTTGCTGATGCAGTTTCCCCATATCTAGACTGGGAGTCAGAAGGCTGCGTTGCCCAGCTACAGAGCTGAGAGCTTGGTATGACACTAGATTTCACATGGATTGTTTTTTCTTTCTATATTATTTACGGCAGTTTGGGTGGCCATTTACTTTCATAATAGTTTGTACTTTTCTTCTTCATGTGGCTGTAAACTGGTGGAAAGTCCTGGTTGTTCATCCACATCTAGACTTTAGTCTTTTTCCGAAATCTGAGTGTTGCATGCACATATGTTGTACCAATCTGGCTTATTTTTATGCAGACTTCAAATTTGTTTGTTTTCTTAACAAGGTTCATATTATTTTTTGCCCTGCCATTTAAGTTGTTTCTGTTTAATACAGATCTTTCTTTTTTTTTTTTAATAATAGGTCCTGCAGAATCAAACGCACATGCGGAGGTGACCAAAGAGGAACCTGTTGGGAAAACACCTGGCAAGTATGTTCCTCCTGCCCAGAGACTTGGAGCATCTGGGCCAAGTTCATCCAAACAGTCATCTTCCAGAAAGAAGAAAGATGCCCCCAATGTGAACAGCGAGGAGGATTTTCCAACTCTAGGTGGGATGCCAGGCACAAAGAAAGGATGGAGGTCAGTCGTAAATGTAGTTACCAGAGATTGTTTATCTTATCATAGGTTGAGTTGTGATCTACACAACTTTAAGTGTTCCTGAAATGTTTGTAGTCCCTCTGGCTGGCAGAAAATTCCCTGGCTGTAACATATTGGACCACTTGTTCAACAGATGCAGCCGGTGATGAGTGGGAAGCTCAGCACACAGATGTGAGGTTAAGCAGTCATATACAGAATGTGATTCCAAGACCAGAGTTTCATGTCAGCTCTGTGTTTATGGAATTAATCAAGTAACAGAAAGTGTATTGATCGGCACTCGTAGAAAGAAGTAGATAGAAGAACACACTTGACAACAAAAAAATTGAAATCTATAGTTACTGTGCCGGGAATTGAACCTGTCACCTCCAGACGGCGTCTGCGCCTTGCCATGGATAAAAGTGCACTAAGAACATGGTCAACCAGGCACCCAGCCCTGGATGGCAGGGAATATCCATGGTCTGCCCCTGCCTTACCTTGAGAGCTGCAACCACTCTACTTGGGCTCTAATCGTGCAGTCTGCTCTAACACTTGACCACCACCTTCACCGAGTGTATAAAGTAAAATATAGCTTAAGCTCAACATGCCTGGGGGTATGGAAAAGGGTCCATTAATTTTTTTAGAATCTCAAAAAAAAGATCCTCCTGAAGTTGCGGTATGTTTGTTATAATTGGCCTAGGGTCCCAGGTCGAGTCATCCTTCTTCTTAGTGTTCATCCTCTGTAAACTTTTGTGTTCAATGGCTGTAAACTTTTGTGTTCAATGGCTGTAAACTTTTACGAAAAGTTCTGGTTGTTTGTCAACTTCTGGATTCACTCCTGTTCCAAAGCCTCAGTTTGCGTACTCATCAGTTTTACAGATCTGGCTAATTTGTCTGTACACTGTTGGCTCCTCACCTTTCATACAGATGCACACTGATCTCACTTCAAAGAATACACCCCCAATTAGTCACATGGTTGTTGGATGGTGAGGGGGGAAACCCCTCCCACTCCCCCACAAAATCAGATCTAGAACCGCAACGGGGAGAACCAGCTTAAAATGGGTGCCAGGAAACAATCTGAGAAAGAAAAGTTGCTGGCGTGATGTTAACTACACCACTCATTGAATGCGATTAGTCTATAAAAATAAGTGTCTGGCACCATATGCTAATGCACCACTGGCATTCAGTACTGAAAGAAAAATGGCTGTGCCAGATTTATAAGGCTTTGTTTCTTGTATTTGTCTGTATTTCTTCTTCCACATTTACTTTTAAAAGGACAGTTGACATGTGTTGTGGTTTACAGCTAGGCTGTGTAATATTTGCATCTTTCAAACCAGCACAGATTTCAGCAAATCTTTGTTGCCTTTTATGACATGCTTATTTAAGTCTGTGTTAGGTATTGTGAAGGTGGCTGGTTAGATCTCAGCTCCAAGCGATGTGACAGCACACTGCTTAGCATTGGTTTTGATATTTATATCGAGAGCTGACCTTCAGTAGCAAGGGCAAACTACTGAACATAAAATTACAGACACCGCAAAGATTGCGGGGGTTAGTTCTGCAATGTCCTGTAAAGGACACACAACTAACTGTTGAAAAGACTGGTGGGTCTGAGGGAACTCATACACCAAAGACTAATTAAACAGACGTGTGAGTAGAGATGTTCTAGGAGATAATCAACACTGAGGGGGAAACAGGCGGACTTTCAATCAGGTTTCAGCTGTTGCTATTAGCAAGTCGACTTTTCACTAGCTACTGAAGAAGAGTGTAGGGAACCAAGTTAGCGCAGTGGATTGGAGACTCACTTTTAAAACCGGCTGCAACTCGCTGCAGCCCAAGGCCGGTGTTTCGAAACCGGGCGGTTCCCGGGGTTCACCCAGCCTATAGGTAATGGGTACCAGTGTTAACACTCTGGTGTAAATGGAGGAACATTGCTGTAGCTACGGAGTTGTCAGCTGTCCTTACTGGTGGCGGAGCACTTATGGTTTATAACCGTGTGCAGTAACTCTGGTTCACATATCCTGACTTGACCTTTTATTACAAGCATGTATGGGAATGAATGAGAAGTGCAGATATCAGTTCTTGATTCATTCATTCTTGACTTTCCTTTTATTTCACCCAGTTTATGTTTGAAATTTTTTGTATCTACAACACAGCCAGCAGTACAGTAGTACCGTCTCTTCAGACTTGATCGACAACGCCGGTCAGAGGAGAGGCGTCAACTTGACGCTGGAAAACAAGTTTTCAGCTTTACAAGATTGATGCTGGAGAAGTTAGATAACCAACTAACTGTGTTTGTGGCCAGATCATCTTTCTGGCACCTTGTAATTGATGTTTTACTGTTTGCTTGTTACTGACGATGGTTCCAGTGAGGTTGCATGGGCTCATTCGTGAATTTTTTAATGTATGATCAGAATTTTTGCAGGGCTTGTCTGTGTCTCTCGGCAACATGCTTATTGTTTGTATAGTCTTTTGGAGATTAATCACCATCTGTTGGAAATGTGTTTATGGTCTGTTGGAGACATCTTTTAAAGTTTGCATACAAATAAGCCAGATTTGTAAAAATGGATGTGTACGCAAAACTCAATTCTGGACCAGAAATTGATGAACAGCCAGAAGTTTCTATAGGAGTTATGCAGGTGAATGCAAAGAAGTTTCAGAGAGAAAGTAAACAATCTTTCTCCTTCCATTGGGGCACATAAGTCTTTATTATGGTAGGCCTATATGTTTATAGACAGGTCACCAGCTTTGTATCATCTGTAAGGTATTATACTTTTTGTGGCAACAAGTCAAGCGTCTCCCAGGAATGCCTGATTATATGTGTGGTCAAACTGGACTTAGTGCTGACCAAGTGGTCGTGACTCCTGGACTTAGTGCTGACCAAGTGGTCGTGACCCCTGGACTTAGTGCTGACCAAGTGGTCGTGACTCCTGGACTTAGTGCTGACCAAGTGGTCGTGACCCCTGGACTTAGTGCTGACCAAGTGGTCGTGACCCCTGGATTTAGTGCTGACCAAGTGATCATGACCCCTCCCTTGGCTGCTGGGGTAACAGTAATTGGTAACTCATTTCTGTTAGTTATCTTTAGCCTGTAGCAGATGTTATGTGTATGAATCCTCAGAGGCAGGGAACTTAGAAAAAAAAAAGTCTGGGCTTCTTCAAGATTGACCCAGCCAAAAATTGAAACAGGGCGGTGTTTTGGAAGGTAAAGGCTATACTTTCTAGTATAGCTAGCATCTATGGCTGCATATAACTGGTTACTGAAGTTGCTTTTTAGTATCTAGATGGCTGTTCTCAAGAGGTCTTTGAATGTGTTCTAAATAATTCAAGTAGGCACATGCGTATATTTAACCCTGTTACTTTTTAACTTGTTATCTGTATTGATACCTTCCACATCCGTCTGGCCCATTTGGGCTTGTGTTCTATTCTTCGACGGAGCAGCCATCTTTTGTGTGTGTTTTGTTTTATGTATTTGACAATTGATTTAGGTGCTAGTTCCTGGTGAGGCCAGAAATTTTCGCCAGCTGCAAACTCTGGCAGAAAATTCTGGTTTGTCGTCCAAGTTGTGAACTTTTATCAGTCTTGTCCCAAAGCATGAGTATCGCGTGCACATTCGTTTCACAGATCTGGTTAATTTGTATCCAGGCTATTAGTTCCTCACCTCTCATGCAGATGCAGACTCCGACTTTAGACACACCTTTCATTTGTCGCTTTTTACGATATGCTTGTTTTGGGGTAGGGGAGGAGGCAGTGGGCTTTTGTTCTCCTCCCCAAATGGGGCCCCAGAACCCACAAAGAGAAGACCAGAGAAGTTTGTTTATCTGTTAGTGGTAAAACACAAGATTCGACACCCAGATGCAGTTACAGCCAGCTGTCTTAGCTGTCAGCTACAGTATAAAATCCCTGCATATTTTTATTGCGTAAACCATATTACATTTTTCGTACATATTTTACTTGTTTGGGTTTGGTATTGTTTGTAATGGTTTTTTTTTGCAGATTTGGTGTTGGAGCAGTCACTTTCTTCAATTTAATATCAATCTTGAGTTTTGTAAAATATTCTATTATTTGATATTTGTGTAAATAGTATATACTGAACGTCACCTTTGTTAGTTTGATGTAGCAGAATTTTGCTAGTTTCTTAGTTTTATTCAGGATCAGATAGGTCTAGTTGTATTGTGGTTACTTCCCCAGAATCACTGTACATAAAAGTCTTTCAACAAAATTGATGGATGTTCAGGGATACAGCATTAGAAAATACATAGGCAAATGTATATTTGTATTGTTTACTTTAGTTTGCATGAACATTTCTGGATGTTGACTTATAAATAAAATATATATTTGAAATAAACAAAAATCTGTATTTTTGTCTCTTCCATGATACAGTATATTATAATAATAAAAATCTGACAACCTGTGGAAAATACATTAAACATTCTAGAAGCAGAGCAGAAAAACTCAGCTGGTGACATCTGCACTAACTACAGAGCTGAGGCAACTGCCTTCCTGTCTGCAGTCCGGCACCTCATCACTTATGAACATGGAGGGACCAACATTGGATGGCTTTCCAAGGAAGCAGGACTGGTCCTGCAGTGAATACCAGCCCACTGTGGTATTCAAGGAAGTGAGAGAGCAGATGAGCTGGCAAAAACTGGGAGAAATCTTCCACATACCTCACCCAGCTCACTGTGGTATTCAAAGAAGTGAGAGCGAACAAACTTTATTTTCAAAAGGTTATAAATTGGGCACACAGGCTCATTTGACATTCGGCTCTCTATCATCTGAGAGAGAGATGAGCTGGCTAAAAACCGGGAGTAATCATCCACATACCTCATCCACCACAGAGTCAAGAAAAAAAAAACACAGCCCTAAAGCAGTCTTTCAAGGGGAGTGGAGAAGGCAGAATTGAGACAACAGATCAGGGCATGACAGCATAAACTCAACAAGAAAGAACAAAAATCTATTTTTAGGCTCCTGACAGGACACTGGTCTTAGAGCCCACCTGTATAAGATAGGCATAAAAGAATTTACTGCCTGTGATTGGGAGCAGGAAGGCAGGACTGCCCTAACTACTCCCAGCAAAGATTGTGGATTTGGCTTAAGGGAGCTACAAGAGAAGCTGTGGGCGACATTAGACGCATGATTCTATTAGTGACACAGACAGGACTAAATGTTTACCATGGCTGATGTTGGACGCAGAAGAAAAAGACAGGCACCCCAGAATGCTGAAGTGTGCTGCAGACACAGTCTCTATATGCATTCGAGAGATCCTAGGTCTGGTCAGTTAGCATTTCAGTGGGAACCAAGCCAAATGGGATCAGTGAAGGACAAGTTTTTGCACCAGGGCCTTCACAAAGGCAGGGAAAATGAAACGAAGATGATTCTTCTGTGGTGCCCTGTCCAATGCCAGTCTTGTAAGATGACCACAGCCTTTGATGTGTTGTCTACCGATAAAGATTCTGTGCCGCTCTCCTTATATCATTGTTTCTAAGTCAATCTTTCTGTGTTACACCTAGCACAATATGTAAAGATTTTCTTTCCGTCATAAACTATTCTTCTTCTGAAGAGGATTAGTAATACTTATATATATATATATATATATATATATATATATATAAGAAATAAAATATAATTTTTTATATATATATATATCTATATCTATATATCCCTGTTGTACAGATTCTTAGTCACTCTATCTTGTTTGAAAATGGAGATGGAGGCAGTCACTGTTGAGAAAGATGGAGACAGGTATGCTGGACGTTGAGTGCCCTCTGGGAGCGAGTGAATAGTGCGTAAGCGCAACAAATAGATTATTACGGTCTGGGGAGAATGGCGCTGCGAGGAGTTACCAGGGGATCTGGCTGACGCTTGATACTTAAGGGAAAGGCAAGACGGATATACAATCAGACAGTTACTGGTGCCATCAGAATTGGAACTCTGCGCTTGCTGCTGAAGATGGAGACGGAGCGCATATGGGGGGTGTCCCGAGATCTTTTATGTAGATTTATAATTCAACATTCTTTGTAAGATGCAGTTTTCTTTAACTCTGTACCGCTCAGGTGATAATGAACCCAGTTTATCCCAGCCGTTAAGATCTGTACCTTCTGCCTTGAAGTATTGTTATAACATGTCTCAAATTTTTACCTTTCTTTTTAAAAGTGGCACTTGACTGACACAACAGACCGCACATTTGAAGTAGTACACTGGCCAGGATGCTGGGATTAGACCTCTCATCAACTAACCTTTTTTCTCCCCTTTTTCTATCTTCAACAACCCTTTCTTTCTCATAATTTAGATTCCCCGTGTGGGTTCTAAACCCAATTATGGTACAAGAAATGACACATGGATCCACTGCCTCCTCTTGCCAACAAGCGTGTCGTAAGAGTTGACTAATTAGGAGTATTTCCTTTAAAAGTCAGAGTGCATCTGCCTGAGAGGTGAACAACTAGCAGTCTGCTTACAAAAAAGCCAGATCTGTAAAATGGATGTGCACCCAAAACTCAGGCTCTGGATCAAAACTAAAGTTAGTTGCGTATCCTTTACAGGACCTTGCAGAACCAACCCCATAACTCTGGCTGTAGTGGTTTTCCTAGGCAAGTTTACATCCAGTAGTTTGCCGTTACTTTCTGGATGGTCTGCTTCTCGATACCACTGTCGAAACCAATGCAAGGCACAAGGCCTGCAGCTGGGATCGAACCAGGCACTCCGGCATTACAAAGCGCGTTCGTAACGCCTAAGCCACAGATGCCGACTGGGTCAAAACTAAAGTGCAGAAATGGATGAACAACCAGAATTTTCTGCTAGAGTTTACAGATAGTGAATGTGAAAAATAAGAATAATCTGGTATATATATTTAGTGTTATGAAAGATGATCAGCGATCACCAACAAGACAAACTGATGCCTAATTCATAACCTTTAAGATAAATTCTCTTAGTGAAGTCTCTCTGATCTATCATACACCAAACATTCATTGATGACACCAACAGGGCTGGTGATGTTTTAGCGATACTTTACTTGATATAAGAAGTGCAACAAAACCCACCTGCAGTCATGCACTACACTACTGTATATATAATCTAGATAAATAAGACACAATTGTATGAGTTGCTACATAGAAGCATTATGTTACATCTGTAAGCATCATACATAAGACTTGAGAACAAACCCATACTGCCACCACCAAACATGATGTTCCCTGTGGAACACAAAGTCAAAAAAACTGGTTTTTTATATCCTGGCTGCCTGTAACATTCACTTTTTGAATA